CGCGCCGGGATCCAGTGCTGGGCCAGAGGGTGAGTCCCTCAGGAGCTGCCACCCATCCTCATGCCACCTCTTGGACCAGCTGTGACGGAGAGCCGCATCCTTGGGACAACCCCATGACACCAGCCCAGAACCCCAGGGGATGCCATGGTGACACCTCAGCCACCCACGCCGTGCAGTGACGCCGTCCCTCGGGGCACCATCCAGGGTTATCTGAGGATAATGAGTAGCTCGGGGCCAGGTGCATGTCTGGGACAACACAGCCACCCCCAGCCACATCTCTCCATCCCGCAGCACCCCTGGTTAACCCGCTCCCAGCCTTTAATTCCTGCAGGAGCAGAGCCTGGCTCAGCCCCCTCTCCCCAAATCCCACGTAAGGACAGTGTTTAATTTTCAGGCTCTAAACCAAATTTCCCCTCAATCTCATCTCATGCCCGGGAGTTTAACATCAACAGCAGGAAAAGCCAGAGGGATTTTAAGGAGCAAGGGGAAAGGAGCCGATCGGGGGATGGATGGGCACATCCACCTGACCTTCGGTACTTTCCAGCCTTCGAAACGGGCCTCGTTACCGGCAGTGCTTTGTTTAACGGCCACCGACCCACGGCCCCTTCTCGCACCTTTGCTTTCAGGTTTGGGCAGGTGACCCATCCGAAATGTCTGGCCGTGCGCTGCCCGCCATGGATATCTTCTTCATCCACATTATAAAATCAATTTCTAAAATCAATTAATTAATCGTTAGCACACAAGCACAGGCACCCATGGGTTCCCCCTTGGGTGATCAAGTTGCCCCCATCAGCCTGGAGGAGCCCTCAGCAAAGCCGGGATGGGATTTCCAGACAACCCCCCCATCCCAATCCCACTCATCCTCCCCATGGGGTGCCACACAGACACCCCCCCGGCTTCACCCCGACCCCCTGTGCAGCCCCCCAGCCTTTGGGCTGAGTCAGGGCCCCTTTGTGCGGGGCACTGGGCAGATTTAGCTGTCTCTGCGTTTTTGTAGGCCCTACAATAAATGGTGTCACTGCAGGGTTCAGCCCCTGCACCTTGACGCCGGGTGACAGCATGGCTTGGGGGGACAGCGGGGATGGGGTCACCTCGCTGAGTCCTGGATCTGCACATCCGTCTGTCCATGATGCTGAGGGGTGGGCTCGATGACCCCGGAGGGGGGGGACACCGTCCTTGCTCCTCATCACCCAAGGGGACTCGGTCCCCACTGCCCATCCTCTGCGGGGACACTGTCCCTACACCCCATTTCCCTGGGGGTGGGCATGGTCCCCACTCCGCGTCATCTGGAGACGCAGCACTCAGTCACATGGGGTTCTGTGGAAGACATGGGATGTGGGGGACATGGGGGACACCATGGATGTGGTGACACAAGGGGGTACTCAGAGGACGCGAGCGGGACACAGAAGACAGGGGACACGGGGGATGAGGGGAACATGGGAGCCCCAAGGGCACACGGGGGCCATGGGGGGCACATGGGGGACACCAGAGACGTGGGTGAAACGGGGGACATGGGGGCACCGGGGGGACACAAGAGACACGGGGACACCAGGGAGGAAGCCAGAAGGGGTGTGGGAAGCTCCAGGGATACCCAGGGGACAGAGACGCAGGCAGAGGGACACGGGGGCGGAGGGGACAGCCAGCGGACCTGCTGGGAACCCAGAGTCACGTGGGGACACCCAGCGCGACCTGGGGACACGTGGGGACTCGGGGGCACCGAGGAGACGTGGGGACACGCATGAGCCCCAGGGGACCCGGCCGAGGCCCCCGGGAACACGTCCCGGTACCGGCTGCGCACGCGCTGTGGGCGGGGCTAAAGGCGGGGGCGGGCACTTGC